GGAGGACCTGATGAGACCAGCTGTTGGAGGTTCTGGAGGACCTGATGGACCAGCTGTTGGAGGTTCTGGAGGAGACCAGTTGTTGGAGGTTCTGGAGGACCTGATGAGACCAGTTGTTGGAGGTTCTGGAGGACCTGATGAGACCAGTTGTTGGAGGTTCTGGAGGACCCAAGACCAGTTGTTGGTGGTTTTGGTATTCCATTCTGATCTGAGGAGTCCTTCATAGGCTACGTTCCAGGATCTGTGGTTTTAGTTGGTTTCATGAAGTCTTTAGTCCTGTCCTGTAGATGTTTGTGGTTCTTCTGTGCCATCAGTCATCTTTCCTCAGTTTTCTGCTCCACAGGAAGTCCAGCCACACCTGCTCCCTGTTCACCTGTCACGGCTGCAGCCACTCTCCTCATCAGCCTGGTCCGTCTCAGGTTTTACACCTTCAGAGACTGGTAGAAGACAGAACTTTTTTGATCCCGCAGGAAATTGTTTTGGGCACAGGTTCTGTCTAAAACTAGAGGAACTCTTTCAGAATAAAGGTCCTGAATAAAGACTTTAATCTCCAGAATATAATCTGATCCACAGATTAGAAGAAACTGAAGAAACCTGAGCTCAAAGGACGAGGCCCTCAGGGGCCACTGCAGTAAAACCAGGTCCGGTTCTGGACCTCGCTGCTGTCAGACTTGTTGCTGTACGAGCAACTTTATTTTTTTTTTTGCCGTTTCTAATTTTATAAAATAAAAAAGTCCAACTTCTTATTTTAAGCATTTGACAGATTTACTTTCAGCATTCGTGAATAAAACGTGTTGGTGAGATTTCACCCCGACAGCGTGTTTCACCGTCCTGTTCAGGAACACGGTTTTATTATTTGATCTGCCGTTTGGCAGATTACAGCGGATCACCGCTGCAGCGCAGGTCCTCCTGACAAACTGTCAATCATCAAACAGGCTATGAATAAATGAACATGTGTCTCATGTAAGCCGATGTTTTTCTGAGGCTGAGCAACGTTCAAATGATGGACAGAAAACGTGATTTCACTAAACGTGTCCCTCGACAGCCGAACATCGAAGGATCTTCACGAGAACACGTTTCACAGCCGAACGAGGCCGAGCGCAGAGGATCCGTCTTACCTTCACACGCCCACCTGAAACCTTCAACAGCAACAACTAAAATAACACAAACACCATCAGTCCAGCACAAAGTCACAACATTTATGACCTTCTCCTTTCAGCTGGTGGGTCCACGCAAACACCTCGTCACATTTTAGACAACAACTTACTGAAACAGAAAAGATGTCAACGAAACACCTCCGTGTTGTGAGGACCTGCTGAAGAGCCTCAGGATGAAGGAAAAGTGCATTCTGGTCCACTGGGATCTTCTTGATCTCCACTAGATGAACGCACTGAAATGCTGTCATACGATTGGCTGACTGAGTTCAGCACCTGAACAGGTGAAGCTAATGAGTCTTAGAGGCTAAAACATTTTCTTTGTGCTGTTGAGAAGGTTGGTTTGGCGCCACCTGCTGGTTCTACTTTAACATGACTCTTCTCACGTGACAGACATTTACCAACCACAAGTTCTGAGAGTGTCCAAGCAGAAGAACACACCAAACATTCAGGTCCGACCAAAACCACCAGCAGTCCGGCTGAGTCCAGACCCTGAAGCCGATGAAGTGGACCTCCTGTTCTGCTGTGGTCCACGTTCTTCTGGTGCCTCAGTCCGTTTTGCTCCTGCGCTGCTGCTCCTGGTACTCCCGTGAGTCCTCCCACGGTCGTGGACCACGGATGTTCTTCCACTCGTCCAAATTATTTTCCTTCATCTTCTGCAGAGAAGAGACAAAACAGGAAACATTCAACTCTGGAGCAGATTTTATTTTAATCCACAAGAGAACAGGTTCACTGCAGATTGGGATTTAGATTAACCATGTGATGGATGGAAGTCGAAGTCCAAATCCATCCAGCCATCCATCCATCCATCTTAGAGTCATCCATCCAGCCATTTTAGAGTCATCCATCCGTTTATCCATCCATCTTAGAGTCAGCTATCCATCCATCCATCCTAGAGTCATCCATCTATCCATCCATCTTAGAATCATCCATCCAGCCATTTTAGAGTCATCCATCCGTTTATCTATCCATCCATCCATCCATCCATCTTAGAGTCATCTATCCATCCATCTTAGTCATCCATCCAGCCATCTTAGATCCATCATCCATCCATCCATCCATCCTAGTCATCCATCCATCCTAGTCATCCATCCATCCATTCTACTCATCCATCCATCCATCCATCCTACTCATCCATCCATTATCTTTCCCCCTTCTTCCTTTCCAGGTCAGTGGTGCCCATATCCAGTCATCACTGTGTGAGAGGTGGGGACACCTGGACAGGTCTCTAGTCCATCACAGGGACATATAGAGAAACAAGAACCAACCACTCACTCACTCACACATATTTAGAGTTACCAATCAGACTAACATGCATGTTTTTGGTCTGTGGGAGGAAACTGGAGCACCCGGAGAAAACCCACGCATGCACGGAGACAACATGCAAACTCCACCCAGAAAGGCCCCCGGTTGGGATCGGCGACCCGCTCGCTGAGAGGCAACAGCTCTACCAACTGCACCACCGTGCTGCTGAAGTTATTTCTATCACAAGTTAACTTTGTGTTCTGTAAATTGAAGACGGCAGAGAAAAAGCACAACTCCTAACCAGCACACACTTTTTTTTTCTACAGTCACTGAACTGATTGGATCATTTCACCAGGTCTACCCGGCTCTCCGTACCTCGTACTCCTCTTCCAGCGTGACCGACGGCCTCTTCATGTCCATGTTAGCCTCCAGGTCCGGATCCAGCTGAAAAAAATGTGACAGAACAAAAATGTCTTCACAACAAATTGACCAAAAAAAAAAAAATCTAATCAGAAGCAAGAAGCCACCAAGTGACGAGAGAAACGGGGACGCTCTTTTTCTTAGAATAAACAAAGATCGGTTGAGATAAAATTTATTTATTTTATTTTGGGACGTTTGAGACTTTATTGATCACTGGTCAAGAAATTAATCTAAAATTTGATTCGATAGAAAAAAAAATCAACAAATGCTACACTAAGTTTTTTATTTGGTAACAAATAGAAAGAAAACGATGACCTGGTATAACCGTGGATGATAAAATGTGTTGTAAAGCTCACATAAAAATATATAAATCAAAAATACACAGAATTATCTGAAATCAGAGATCACTGCTGTATCGTCATATTTCAGTTTCTGTGTAGCGCAACATCTACAATAGTTCATTACAGCCGTTATGTACACTTCAGAAGAACAAACGATCATAAACCAGGTCGGGTTTCTGGAACCCGAGTTTATTCAAATTAATTTCTCTTGTCGAAAAATAAACTGCTGCAGTTTAGAGGAATGTTGCACTTTATCAACAATTAATGTTCAAAAGTCTGAGATTAGAACGTGGCAATGTGTGAGGATGGAGTTATTCCCATAAATCTATTCATGCAGGTTTGCAAGTGTGCAAATTCACCTGCACACATTTCAGTGTGTAGTTGTTCCGGTCCCCTTGGACTAACACAAACACAACTTATGAGCTTCCACAGCTTTATGAAACTGACACGAACCAGTGATGAATAAAAATCCTCTCAGCTCGACTTCAGGCTGAATTTATGAACTGAGGAAATGTAAATGAGACGTCAGCTTAAAGTAGCAAACAGGTCAAATGTGCCAAAAGCCTCAGAATGTGACAAACCAACCAGAAACTGAAGGATCACGTCTACTTAGCTTTAACGCCCACGAACACACCGAGCAGAGGAGACGCTCTACCCCCCAGGGTGTGAGAGGATGTCCTGCACTTAGCCGTGCTCGGACCCGGGGACCAGTGGCTGTGAGGCTGCCTCACATCAACCACGAGAGGAAATGCCTTCAACCCAATTTTCACTGAAATCATCCGACAACAGTCCGACTAGAAGGTTAAAATATTAAATAAAATACTTATTTATATGTATAAGTAAAAATATTACGTCTTAAAAGTTCTTCTCATTTTTACAAACTGGATTTAATGTGATCTCCAGCTGATGATGTCTGTGTGCTTGTTAGCAAAATATCTCAAGAATCACTGAACTGATTTTAATGAAACTTTAAGAAACTAATCAATGAACGATTATAACTGATTAACTGTAGGAGTCAATCCAGTTCAAGATGGCCGCTACCACAAAACAATATTGGCACTGGCAGACAGCAATATTGATGTAAACAGTGGAGTGGTGGTGACTGAGAGTGATTCATAACACATACTGTAAGGGCTAACACAGGATGTAAGAATGTCCAGGATGTTCTTCTACAAACGGTTTTAACTCCATCTTTTCACAACAAAAGATTAAAGTTAGAGGACGGAGAGAGACGGTTTGGACGAGTTAGTCGCTCCAGAAGTGTAACCCTGAGTGGGAAGGAACTAGGAAGGTCCAAACTGGACCAAACAGTCCCATAATTTAATCACTTCTGATTGAACAACTTCACCCTGGAGCCATGAACGACCACACAAAATAAATCAGCTCTGAGCAACAAAGACATAAAATATGAGAGAGTTTTCCTTAAAAAGGTGAACTTAAAGAAATGAGGTACGAACCCTTTGTCTGATCTTCTGAGCATCATATCTGAGCTGTGTGAACTCCCGGAGGCCAAAGGAGCCCCCGACAACCAGCAGCTGCAACAAAACATGTGATCAGGTCTGGGTCAGTCAGCTGATGGACCTGAGCACACCTGACAGCTCAGTCTCCAGGTACACCACATCAGACCTACATGCGTTTTTAAATATTTTAACTAGTATGTTGTTAGCTATGATATGAACACATCATTCCTGTATGAGTTTTAAACCATAACATTACACAACTCAGCACATATTCTCCTCAAGTTAAATAACTACTGCTGGGCCTACTTTACCTTTAATGAATAATTAATAAAATATGAACATAACCATAACTTTTATTTCCCACAGTATCGATACATAACGAAGTCGATGTTTTGACATTTAGTCAAACTGCTAACAAGCTAGCTGTCAGCTTACTCTTTGTTTCCGTAAAAATATAAATTAATAATATTCACTTACTATCATGGGGAGTCCATATTTCACCGTTTTATTTCTCTGTAGCGTCTTTAAATTAAACATGTTTGTTTGGTTACATGTCCACAACACAGCGGACAGGACACCGGAAGCAGTTTTCTTCTTCTGCAAATTCTTCTTCTTCGTCGGTTTTATTTGCCGTTTTTCAGCCAATATGTTGGAGCATTATCACCGCCTGCTGGTTAGGAGTGTGAACTAGAACGGCGCAACAAAACAAAATAAATAAATACAATATATTTTTTGTTGTCTTATTTTTTTGTTTTTTTTGTTTCTTCTTGTTGAGTTTAATGGCGGTCGTCAGAAAACTGAAGGTGTGCATTACCACCACCAACTGGTATATAGTGCGGTTCATCATGGTTTAATTCTATGTATGAATAACATATATAATCAAATTCTATTAATCATTTTTATATATCTTATTATTATTTGTATACGTTTGCTCCCTAAGATATGTTGCAGTGTATCTATTATGTTAAACTTTAAACATTTCCAATCTCTCTCCTCGTTGTTCTTGCTCATATTTCTGACATTAGTAGAACTTGTTTCATCCTCTCTGCAGTGCTTCTCATTTCCCTGTATTGTGTTTCTGTATTTGAAAAAGTGTAGATTTGACTCCTGCATGTCCAAATCTCAATCTTGTTATTAATCTTTCCTCTTTTTTGCTGCTTCTTCCAGTTCTCGTTTCTCCTACTGCCTTTTTGGTCCCATCAAACCATCTTCCTTTTCTTTCTCCATCCCATCTTTTCACTTGTTTGATGACACTTCTCGCCTCTGATTTATTGTATGTTCCGTGAAGTTAATATTTTAGTTGCCATCTCATTTCCTTCTATTCCAGTGTGTGCTGCTACCATAAAACGCTGCTGTTAATCCCATCCTTTGTATTCTGAATAATCTGTGGAGCATTTCTAATCAAATGTCTGGCCTGCTGTCTCAAACACTGTGCTTTAATACGGGAACATTTTTGTTTTTACTGGTTTTACATCTTCCACCCACTGGTCTGCTAACAGAACTGACAACATTTATTCTGTGTAAACTGATAATCTGTTGGTGATTCGTTTTCCAATTTTTATTAGAAAATCTGGGATTATAAAAGCTATTCTTATTTGTTCAGCTGTTTTTGATGTGTCTGCTGAACCTTACGTGTGTAAAATAAACTGAGATGGAAACCGATCGCTTCTCCTGAGCTTGCTTCAGACCTTCGTGCACGTGAACAGTAACCTTCTGTAAAAAGTTTTATTAAAATGGAACCCAACAAATAAATCCGGTCTTTCAATTCTTGATCAGTTTGACCAGTTCCGGAGCAGACGTTGAAAGATCCTGTTCTTTAAGTCACAGTGTGTCCACTCACACCTGATCATCAGCCACTGATTGAAAACACCCGACTCTAATTACACCTTCAAATTAACTGCTAATCTGCTAATGGAGGGTCACAAACTTTTACCACACAAACCAGTTCATCATTTCCCTTGATAAATAAATGACCAGGTTTAATATTTAACTGGGTTCTCTTTATCTACTTTTAGGACTTGTGTGAAAATCTGATGATGCTTCAGGTCATATTGATGCAGAAATATAGAAAATTATAAAAAGTTCACAAACTTTCAACTGTACGTCCTCCACTGCACGGAGCAAACCAGTTTCATTTACTGGGACGTGGAGATCCTGAGCAGAGGGACCAAGGCACAAAGAGTTCATCATGTCCCTCAAAGAGTTATGTTAGGTTCTGGTTCCTGACCCGTTGGGTGAAGCTGCAGGTTCTGGTTCC